CCCCCCGAGACTGCGAGGCCCCGGCTCTGCTGGTTTTAAACCCCCGCAGGTTAGAAAGGAGCAGCCCAGCAGCCCAAGCACGCACTTGGCTTTCTTGCGCAGCAGCTTCTGAGACTCCGGGTAATGCACCAAAATCTCGTTCAAGTCTTTCTTCTCCAGAATAAAAAGGTTGGCGAAGCCGTGGGCCACGACGTTTGCTGTGCGGCGATTTCCCCCTCCTGCTGCCAGCAGGCTGGGAGAGACAATGCGAGACATCAACACCTCTGTTGGCAGGCTCAGAACTGCAAATCTCCTTTACACCTCTGCACCTCTCTCAGGGGACTCAAGAGTTTAATTTTCACTCCTGATGGGATTTATCGTGCTGTTTTTAAAGAATGATAAAGGGAAACCTTGCATGGAGTACTATATAAAATATTATCTGTGGGCTTGAAGGGTTAAATATTGTGTTTAACACCAGTCTGGTGTCTGCTGGGCTGTGGGGAGGCAGCAGTGTTGCTGCGTTACCAGCTGGTGCAGGGCTTTTCATTCCCTTGGAAGGGCTGGGAGAATGTATTTGTGAAACACCTTTTCTGATCAATTTTCCCATTCCTCCATCCATATTCCCCTGTTTACCATCCCCAGCTCCCCAGGCAGAAGACAACACAATGACAGAAACAGCAGGAAAGCTGTGATTTGTGTCTCAGCCTCTGCCCAGCATTCACGGCTCTCAGTCACAAAGATTAATTGGGATGCTGCTGATCCCTCCGCGTCCCACCCACAGGCTGTATTTCCCCAGCTCCCTGACAGTGCTTCTCTCACCTGATTTCCCCAAAGACAGATCCAGCTTTCAGAGTCACCAGCACGGATTTGCCGTCGGGTCCCCCCAGCACCTGCACCTGTCCCGCCTGGATGATGTACATCTCCCGGCCTATCTCCCCCTGCAGGGAAGGGGGAGCTGGCCAGGGACACCTCATGGATGCCCTAAGGATGCCCATGGCCTCTCCAAGCTCCCAAAACATCTTCATGGTTCTCATTCCTGAGCATTCTCATCTCAGCATCCCCAAGACCCCAACTGTAGCCATGATGTTTTATGAAAAATCCTTTCCTTAGGATTTTTTCTCCTGAGAAGCTGAGGCTTCAGGAACAAACTGTAAACAATTATTATCTGCTGCTGTGGACTGCAACAGGTGGATCTGTGATTGGTCCATGTTGATTGTTTCTAATTAATGGCCAATCACAGCCCAGCTGTCTCAAACTCTCGGTCAGACACAAGATTTTGTTATCATTCTTCTTCTTGCTTGCAAGCCTTCTGATGAAATCCTTTCTTCTATTCTTTTAGTATAGTTTTAATATAATATATATAATAAAATAATAAATCAAGCCTTCTGAAACATGGATTGAGATCCTCATCTCTTCCCCCTTCCTGGGACCCTTGTGAACACCACCACACCCAACAAGCTTTCCCCTGTTGTTCAGAGCTGCTTTGTACAAGGCCAGCTGCCACCAAGGGTGTTTTTGCTCTAAATTCCCTCCCTGTGAGGTGGCCCAGCAGGGTGAAGGGCCAGGCCTGGCTCCCCTTGTGCCCTGCACAGCCTGGCTGTGACTCCCAAGCATCCCCGTACCTTCTTGCACACGTAGTCGTTGGGCAGGTACACCACTGATCTGAGCCGCTTCAGCATGTCAAAGATCATCTGTCTGTCACAGCCCTGAGCCCAAAGAGAGCCAAAACATGCCAGCCTCAGCGTGTGCTGGCATGGCAGGCTGTGCCAGGCAGGGCTGGGCTGCAGAGGGTACCTGGAAAAGGGCCACTTTGCTCACGATGTTGTAGTTCACGTCGATGGCGATGTCCAGCCTCATCTTGTCCGGCAGCTGCACCAGCAGCTCTGACTCATCTGTGAGACACAGCAGAAAAGTGGCTGCTTCCAGCACTTGATTTGGGAGTGTGTCCTTCATGTGGCAGTGGGGAAGCAGCCCATGTTGTGGTGGCAGAGGTCAGGAGCCAACTCACACAGAAAGGTCTCCCCCGGCTTCTGCCCACCCAGCAACCTGCAGGTCTAAATCTGAAGTGGGATGGAAAATCACCCTTTGCATTATCCCTGCCCTGATGGCTCCCAGAAACAGACCACTGACCCAAATCAGCATTTCTCCTGTCCAGGGGGTGGGCACAGAGGTTCTGCTGCTGCCTGATGGCTCACTGTAGGGTGAGCTGGTGGCTTTGCTGCTGGACACACTCTGGCCATGATGGACAGTCACTGTCCTCTCCCCAGGGCACCTGGGACACTGGACATGGGATGCCATGTCACCAAAGTGCTGCAGAGACCCAGTGGCAGTCTGCGAACTCCATAGGTGGACAAACAAGCCCCTGTGCTGAAGAGTAAAATAAACCACCCTCCACCCCCAAACTGTAGTGCTGTTTGATGGTAACATTTCAGCTCTGCAGAGAAACCATATGAGATAAAACATGAGATAAAACATGAGATTCAAGCATTCAGCCTTGGAGTGGCTGGATCTCACCTAGCATGCCTTGGGAGTGCCATGTGTACTCGTACCACGTCTTCACCCTGTTCTGCACTGCCCTGGGGATCCTGTAGAAGTTCATGTATTTAATGGTGCTGTCCATGCAGCTCCGGTAGTATGTTTGTCCTGCAGTAGCAGCACCAACCACGTCTCTCATCTGAAAGGAAGAGATGGAGGAGAACTTTAGGTTGCTGTCACTTATCCATCAGCAGGTTAAGCACATAAGCCTAACCCTACCAGCATCTGCCAGATCCTTTTTGTCTTGCACCAATGCTGAGCAGGTCTTCCCATGGGGAAAACAAACCCAGAGAGGCAAACCTGTGGATCAAACCCACCAAACCCACCCCCAGCTGAGGCTGTAAATCCCCCCTGACTCCAACTCACCTGCCCTATCATGACAGAGAAAGCAAAGACCCCTGTGAAGTAGTTCAGCAGCTGGAAGACGATCTCAAACAGGGTCTTGGGGTCTGGCAGGCCTCCGATGGTGATGAGGGTTTTCACTGCCCAGTAGTAACAGCGGATGTAGCTGGAGGAGAAAAGGAGAGGAGAAGAGGAGGCAGCTCTGAAGGCATTTCTGTTTCACCCCTCAGCACAGATTTACAGGCCAGAGCCTGCTGAGAGTAATTATGGATGACAAAAGGAAAAACTGCAGGGCTTCAGACTCCCCACCACACCTGCAGGTGCTTCTGAAGATGCTACAGGAGCAGGGAACCAATGGTCCCTCCAGGATCCTCCACCTGGGAGGCTCAGCTCTGGTTACTCCTGGTTTCTGCTCCTCTGCCATAAAGCAGCAACATGTTTTCAGCCACATTTACACTTTTAGAAATTATCAGGGGGAAAAACATGTTTTGTGAACAAATTGTTGGAATAGCATTTAAGAGAAGCCATGTGTTCCCTGGTCTTGGGCCTTCCCTTGGGTGTTTTGCTTCAGGGGTTTTCATGATCCCAGCTGCATCCCAACACCTCCCTTATTGCTCCAGCTCCAGCAGGCTGTGCTGTGTGAGACCCCCAGCCCTGGTCTGTACCTGTTTCCTTCCCCATCATAGACCCAGGTGGTGGAGCCCAGTCCTTCGTAGGCTGATGCCCAGTAGTAGAGGCAGGAGTTCACATGCAGGCTGTACAGCAGGTAGGCAGTGGTGCGAATCACCCTGCAGAGAAACCCAGGAGAGAGCAGGAAGGGAGATGAGATCTGCAGGGAAAGGTGTCAAGTCCCCCCTGGGATCAGTGGGAGCCTTGAAGTGGTGACCACACAGGTGACAGAGCACCCCAGCCCTGCTGCTGCCTCCTGCAGCCCCAGAAGTGCCAGGAAAGGCAGTTTATCTGCTGATGGCTCCCCTTCACTGCCAGCCCCCCTGTCCCTGTGCGTTGGGGAGAGCTGATCCTGCCCATGCAGGCTTTGGGAACCTCCTGTTCCAACACATCAGCCAAAGTCCATTCAGCCAGCCCAGGTACAGCAGGGAAAGAAGTCAGGGGCCCAGAACAGTGCAGAATGAAGGGAACCTTCCTGCCCAGGGGCAAAGAGCAATTCCATGCTCCCTCCTTGCCCCCATGGCCCTCACCTGTAGATGTAAGCCTTGGTCAGGATGGCCTCCAGGCGGTTGTTGAACTCGAAGAAGGCCATGTACTGGGAGGAGAAGGAGAGCTGCATGTTCCAGGTTCCCCTGGGAGAATCCCCTCCCCATAAAACCCCCCTGCCCCTCATTTCCCTCCTGCAGCCCCTCTGCAGCGTGGACTGCCACAGGCAGATTTGTCTCCATTCTTCAGTGCCCTCCTAGTCAAACGTGAGTGGTTTAGGATTGAAATGAAGTGTGTGACCTGCAAAGCCTTTGGGACAAAACTCCCCTCCATTTTGTGATCCTCCTGTCACCATGGATGGGTGTGAGCAGGCACAGCTCACCCAGGCAGCAGAGGAGCCCTCTGTGCCCTGTGCAGCTGCTGCTCTGCTTTGTGAGCCCTGGCTCACCTTCAGACACCGGGGGAAGCGCAGCAGGGGATTCACACCCACTTTGAAGTAGAAGAAATCCAAGGGCAGCAGGCACAGCACATCCATCTGAAATGCACATGGGAGACACCTCTGTGGGGAGCTGCAGGGGCCCCGGGGTGGGGCTGAACCCACAGGGCAGGTGAAAGAGGTGAAAGATTCAGTGAATGAAGACAATGCTGACAAACCTTGAAGCGCTGTGACCGCAGGTAGTTCTCTTTCATGGCCTTTTTGTCAGTCTGGGGGGAACAGGAGGGAGAGAGAGAGGAATATTGATTATTGCTTAGAGAAAGGAAAGCTAGGCCATTGTGGTCATGCCTGGCTTTCCTTCTCTGCACCACGACAGGGAAGATGCTCCCTTTGTGCCTGGAAAGGGGGAAGAGCAAGCAGAGAAATCCTGGCTGTTTCCCATCTTCCCATCCTACCATGGGACATCCTGTGCTGATTCTGCATCCCAGGAAAAGCGCATCACAGTGCCAGCACCACAAAATCAGCATTTGCAGGGGAAACTGCCTGTCTGAGCATCTGCATGGGCATGGGAAGGCTGCACCCTCAAGGTGTGATTTTTCAGTTTGTTTAATTGAATATGGAAATGAAATCAAGGGCTTGCCTTATCTCAAGGGAGTGATCTGTGTGTTCAGATTGCAATTGCTAACACATCCTGCCTGGTGTGCTCCTGAAAATTAACCCCAGGGTTTGTCACACCCATGCCCAAGGCTGGCACCACACGGCTGTGCCAAGGTCAGTCAATGAACCCCTCACCACAGGCAGAGCCACCCCCTGGAGCAACACCCTGCAGGCATCCCTGCCCAGAAACAGGAAGGCCACACAGTATGGAGAGCATGGGACTGATTTTCTAGGGGAAAATTGTGTGTTTGGTAGACAAAATACAGCTGGCTTGTCCAGTCAGTGTCAGGAGAGATGCTTGTGGTCTCTGGGAGTGGACAGAGCCGTGCTGGCCATGGCCATGGTGAGAGGGCTCAGTTCAGGGTCCAGCAGCACCTGGTGGCCATGGCCATGGTGAGAGGGCTCAGTTCAGGGTCCAGCAGCACCCTCAAGGTGATGGGGTGGGAGTGCCCAGCTGGTCCCCAGTGCTGGATGCAGTGCCCTGCCACTCACAATGATGTCTCCCCCCTGCACGAACTGCAGCCGGGTCTGGAAGATGAGGATGTCCAGCAGGTAAATGAGGTCACAGAGGTAATCCACCAGCAGCCAGTAGTGGATGTTGGCTGGGGTCTGGTAGGGGAAGGCCCAGCGGACAGGGATCAGCCAGCAGTTCCAGTTCCAGGCCATGACCACGAAGAACAGCCACAGCACGTACATCAGATCTGCACACAGGGAACAGCACCACCATCAGCTGGAAACACGTCCCTGCTCTGGGGGAATCCTCCTCACAGAGGGGTTTCCATCCCTGACCTGCCCTCAGCACAAAGGAAAACCTGCCGGAAGTCTCTTGGTGACAGTGTTTGATCTCCAGCACAGAGTGAACACCCCTGGTCACAGAACACACCACATTTTATCAGAAAGCTTCTTCTAACTTTGCTATATTCAGCTATATTTGCTTTCGCTCTGCTCTCACAACTCCAGCTTCCCTGTTTTTGTTTTTCCCCTCCAGCCGTGCTGAGCTGGTGGCTGGCTGCCTGAGCCCAGAGGCTTCCAAAGGATTGAGGAATATGAGAGACTAAGGAAAGAGCTGGGCTTCTGTGAGGTGGCCACACAGAATCTTCTTCTGTGATTTTAATTTTTTGGGGGGATATCCACACCACAGGGAAAGCAGAATGTCCAGTCCTGCTCTTGACACCCACAGCTGGAAGTATGGAGGAAGGCCTGTGCCTTGCAGAGGAATTTAAAAGTCTGAGCTTTAGTGAAAAAGCTAAGCTGCTTCTTGCTTAGTTTTCCTGTCCCTCTCATCACCCTCTCTCCCCCAGTCCCTCCAGGTGCCCCCAGTCCAGGCTGTGCCCCATCACTCACTGGTCAGGGGGTCAATGCTGCTGGGGAACTGGTAACTCTTGAGGTGCTCCAGCCAGGGCCGGCGCTTGAAGGTGCAGCACAGCATCTCACAGTAGTGGTCATCCCCCAGAGGTTTGTCCCCCTCCAGATCCCCTCCTGAGGCAGGCGCTGCGGCTGCTGCAGGTGCTGGCTTGCTGGGAGCTGGGAGAGGCCACACAGTTATTTCAAAGTGCAGAAAAAAGAATCTTCTTGCTGCAGTTTTTCTTAAGGTGTTTAAACTGTTAATAAAACAGCAGCCAGAAAACACAGCGTGTACAGGGACCCACCAGGGAAACACTCCCAGCCCCACCTGGACTCACATGCCACGGGGCTCTCATCATCTGAGGTGACATCAGAGTCAATGAGCTTCTCCTTCACCTTCTCAGTCCTCTCCTTGAAGAGCCTCACCAGCTCCTGCAGCCGGGTGTTGATGATGGCACTGCTCAGGCTCGAGGCCGAGCCGATGCGCTCGGGCAGGCTGGGGGACACCAGAGGGCATTGCATGGAGGTAGGGAAGGGCAGGGAAGGTTATTGGGGTCACAGAAACCTGGAATGGCTTGGGTTAGAAGGGAAAGGAAAGGCCAGGGCAGGTTATTGGGGTCACAGAAACCTGGAATGACTTGGGTTAGAAGAGACCTTAAGGCTCATCTCATTCCAGCCTCTCTGCCATGGGCAGGGACACCTTCCACTAGACCAGGTTGCTCCCAGCCCCATGACCCAGTCATTATTCCCATTCTTTAACCTGCTGCACCTGAATTAGGATTTACCTGTGTTTATTGGGGTATTGTGTACTGAGAAGAACACAAACTGGCATGGCTCCCTCTCCCTTTGGTATCCCAAAGGATATTTGGGGTATTTGCTATTTCCACCCAAGCCCCAGGATGTGAACCCCAGGATGTGAACCCCTGGCTGATCTGGAGCCCCTGGGCCCATTCCTCACCTTTCCCTGTGCTCCTGGTCCCAGCCCAGCCCTTGGCTGGAGGATTGGCTCACCAGACCCCTGTCCAGAGCATCCTCTGGGAGCAGTCGCCTTCTCCTGCAGACACAAACACAGACACCAAGGCTTGGCTCGGCTCCTCTCCTTCCTCTTCCTCCTCCCAGGTGTGACCTGTTTTCCATTCCCCCTTCTCCTGCTAGGGTCAGTTTACCCTAATTTTTGTGACATTGCCTGGAGTAGTTGGGAGTGAGCCTCCTGCTCCTTTCCTGCTGGAGCTCTGCTCCTCCCTGAGTACCAACCAGCCCTTGCAGCCACCTGGCCCATTTTGCAACTCAATTTGGCTACCTGGCAAGATGCACAGAGGGCAGGCATCATCCTGTGCTGGCCCCCAGTGCCACAGCTCCACATCACTGCCCTTCAAGGGGCAAGGAAAGTGCAATGCCACAACACCCAGAGCTTGTGTCCTAACTGAGCTGGGCCTCCCTTTGGCACAGATGGGTTTCTCAGGTGACTTCCTTACATGTGGGCACAAAAGGTGTCAGAAGGGAAGCTGAATATGAAGGTAGCAGTCCCAGCAAAAGTCTAGAGAGGTTTGCAAACCTGCAGCCAAGCCCAGAGCTCCAGCTGTGATGAGGAAATTGTCTCCAGGCACCACAAGTGCTGCTCCCACAGAATGTCTCAGTGCTGTGTGTGGAGCAGGAGGAGGAGGATGCTGAGGGAGCATCCTGCCAGCACCAATCTCCCAAAGGAATGGGAGTCAAATGGGATTCAAATGCTGTGAACCCATCAACTCCAGCCTCTCTGCTCCCAGGTGTGTCCTGCTGGGAGGTGCAGCATGTGAACAAGACTGATGAACCTTCATTTCCCAAGAAATGGGCCCTGCCAGAGCCATGTTATAACTCCAGGCTGAGGCCAGTAGAAGGGATTTAGAGATAACTGCTCAATGCAGAATTATGTCTTTTTTCTCTGGAAACACCAGCAGGACATGGGCATTTCCCTTCTGCCTCACAATAATTAATTTTTATTTCTTTATGAAGCAGAACAGGAGTTCCTTGCTTTTAAAAATACCCAATGTTGTTTTGGGGTACTCCCTGGAGACCCAGCAGAAGGGTTTATGTGCTCACATGTGTAAGTGCAAATATGTTCAATGCTGTCTGTGTTTTCACTGCAGGTATTTTACACGAAGCCTTGGGCTCTGCTGTCCCAGTATAAATAGCTGTTCAACAGACCAGATCATTGACATTTTTGCCATTTTTTTTTACAGTTCAACAGGATTGTTGACATTTTTGCCATTTTTTAGCTGTTCAACAGACTGGATTGTGGACATTTTTGCCTTTTTTTTTTTGCTCCTCCAGGAGCAAAAACGAAAAGATCCAAAAGATCCAAACTATTAGGTGAGAATGACTACAGCGCCTGGTTTACAGCACAGAAAATAATCCCACTTTAGCTTTCATTTTGAATCCTCTGCAAGGGTGAGCCTCAAAAAAATCATAGTGCAACCACAGAAAAAAATCCATCAGCTTCCTCCAGCCTAAATTTATAAGCTCAGTTTTAATCCTCCCTCTCTCCAAGCATAGAATCACTGAATGATCAGGGTTGGAAGGGACCTTAAAAGATCATTTAGCTCAGGAAGGGAAACCTTCCAGCTAGGCCATGTAGCTCCAAGCCCCATCCAACCTGGCCTTGAACACTTTGCAGGATGGGGCTTCCACCACTCCTCTGAAAGCTCAAACCCAGGGGGGACGTGCTGCAAACCTTTGCAGCAAAAATACGGGAAGAAAATGGATTATTTTAAAGATGCAGGCTCATATCCAGCACATAGACTCTCTGTGCTCTGAATTTGGGAACAGAGATAAATGGGATTTGCCCATGGCTTGGGGATCCAGCCCATCTCCAGGAGGACACACACAGGGCTGTCCCTGACCATAAAAGCATTAAACAAAATTTAATTTAAAAATGCAAACAAGAGGCAAGGCTTTGGCCATCTCCTCTGCTGTGCACTGGGGTGACACCCACTGCACACACAGCACTGTCCAAACCTGCTGGGAATGAGCATCTCCACGTGGATAAACTTGGATAATAAATGTTCTTGTGCTGACAGCCTTGGGGGGAGCTGGGACCACTGGGCAGAGCTGTGCCTGGGGATGCTG